TTCTATAATATAAATGATTACAGGTACATGCATCACCTGGCCCTCCTCACACACGTGTATGAATGGCTGCCCTCTAGCTACTGCTTTTGTCTCTTTTTCTCTAATTCAGGAGTCTAATGTATTCCACCAACACCCATAACAGTGGGTGTTAGCTTGCAAGTAGGGTAAAATCTCAGACCCTTCACAGTTCTTGAAAATATATAGAAATTTAACTGATTTTTGTATATAGTCTTGTATCCTGCAATTTTGCTAAGTTTACTTATCAGTTACAGATAATTAGTTGGCTGCACCCGATTTCTGATACAGACAATCATGTTGCCTGTAAATATAGTTTTATTTCATATCCCTTGCTTACTAGATAAAACATCTAGTAAAATGTTGAATAGAATTGGTAAGTGCAGACATCCTTGTCTTGTTCGTGATCTAATGGGAGAGGCCAGATGCTGTGAATTTTAGCTCCTTCAGTGAATATTTTTTGTACCCTTATAAATATTCTTGAACTTTGTTCTAAGGCTGTTACTTAGAGACAACTTGGTTGTTTCAGGACTTTTAAGATTCGTTAGGCAGGAGTGAAACAGTGCTCACTCTGGGATAATTATTCCCCACTAGTGAGGCAATACCCTTCTCAGTACTCTACCCAACGCCCATGGACAGGGGGTCGGTGGGAACAAGTACTGTTAGCCTGTGTGCCAGTGTTCTTTTTAATCCCATGGAAGGATTCCTTCTCCATACTTCAGTGGTTTCCCTATACACACATGCTGATCCACACCATCTCCCATACTATAGGGGCTTCCTCTACTCATCTCTGGGACTCCACTCTGCAGCCTTCTCCTCTGTACTGCGCTGTTCTGGGCACTGTGGCCACCTTGTGCTCCCTTGACTCTTAGGTCTGTCTCCTCAACTGAGACAGTCTTCTGAGCATCTCCTGGATTCCCCTACCTTGTGCCACAGCCTAGAAACTCTCAAGACAGGAAACTGGGGCAATTCTGGGTCTCACTTCTCTTTGTTTCTGACTCTCAGTGTTCACTGCCCATTGTTTCCTATTTTCCAGTGCCAGAAAAAAATCATTATTTTAGATACTTTGTCTACTTTTTGGTGGCTTTGAGTGAGAGAATAAAACTGATCCCTATTAGTACATCTTGGCTGGAAACAGAGGCCTCTCTTAATATATTTTGACATACCATTTTTAACATACTAAAAGGCAATAAGATACATTAAAATACAGAACTGATCATATCTATAGAAGACATTTTTCTGTTTTTATATTTTTATAATTTATGTATTGAGAACTCCTACTATGTATGACATATGCACACATGTAAGTTTGCCCAAAGTTCAAAAATTACATAAATTACACCAAAATATAAATTTTTAATTATCTAGTAGCTTCATATTCTTCTTAAATTATTTATAAAGGTTTATTTATTTATATTCAAATATATGTTTTATGTTATATAAGTTATATATTTATATATATATTTATATATAACTTATATACACTATAATTACATTTTATATAATAGAATAGATAACATGATATATGATATAAATATAAATTTATATATAAATTTATATAATTTATATATAATTTATACATACTGATATAAATATAAGTAAATATAAGTTATGCTTTTTTATAGTACTATGACAGTATTTATACTTTATAAGTAAAAGCTCATTCATACTTACATTCAAATCCAAAGCTTCAAATTCTTACATAAAATGAAAACAAGGCTAATACTAAGTACCTTTAGGGAATATGTAGTTAAATATGTTATATCCCAACATGGGCTTTAGTTAAGTAGGGTGAATAAAAGACAAAGTTAGCTAAGTACAAGTGCTATATAAATTAGAAGACAAATGATCATAAAGGATGATCTCTGTGAAGAGAAGGAAGGGAAAAATGAGGAGAAAGAAAATGAAGTTAAAGAAGACCAAAGGAAAGAGCAACCAGAAGAGAGATGCCTAAGACCATTGGTAACCACGGTCCAGTGTGGCCAGTGTAGGCGGAGACCAACTTGCATAGGGCTGTGAATATGCATACAGAGGAGGAGGTGAACTTTATTTTTCATTCATTCAATACATCTTTATTTAGTGTATACCATATTCCTAGCCATTGTTTAAAAGAGAGGTCAGCAAATTATGACCAACTGCCTGTTTTTATACAGCCCATGATATAAAAACATCATGAAAGATTTTTTAAAGGTTAAAAAAAGGACAGTACACAGAGATGGTATGGGGTGAAAAGTCTAAAATACTTACTATTTGGTCACTACTGAAAAATTTTGTCAATCCCCACTTTAAAATGTTGGCATATAGTAGTATAAAAGAAAAAAATAAAGGAGAAAAGACCTTGCTCTTATAAAGTTGATATTATAGTGGGAAGGATACTGATGAGCAATAAATAAGTGAAATATATAGTTTGCCAGATGGTATGTAGGAAACTAAATAAGGGAAGGAAAGTCAGACTGCTAAATACAAGGTAGATTGTCTCATGGTTCATAGAGCAAAATGAGGATGACAGTCTTGGGGTGATGAATGACGATTATTTGGACTTTTTGAGGTGATTAAGGTCTTAAAGAGAGGGTGGCAAGCTGAGACAGTTACCTTGACTATGATTTTGATGGTGAGGGTAGGGAAAGGTGGGGCACATCACCTGAAGTCCAGGCTTCTGGGGCTCTTAACTCTCCCGCCAGGGGTGAGGTGGACACTAGGGAAGGGGGTGGTCTCATTGGGAGCACCCAGAGTTTCTGGCTCCCTCTGCTTAATCAATGATGTTTGGAACCAGGGACCTGCACGTTGATAGCTGGCTTTGGAGAAGGTTTATCTGAAAGTAGTGTAGCTCTAGAGCAAACTGTAGGAAGGAAGCACCACAGCAGGGTCCTTAGAGTGACAAGAGTTTTAAGATTAGACATTTCCTGATGCCAGCAATATATAAGAAAAGAACATGGACAAGCACACCATTCTAGAAGTTGAATAAATGTGGGAGAGAGACATCAGTGTTGCTAGAATCACAAAAGAAACACCATACTGGGTAAAACACCATACTTGTATTCACCTATATTGCTTTTATTAAAATGTTAAGCATCTACTATGTACCCAGCACTGTTCTACGAACTGAAAATAAAATGGTATGCAAGAAAATATAAGCAACCATTTCTCATGACATTTACATTCTAAGCTGTAGCTCACCTCAAATTTTTATAAGTGCCATGTGTATGTTGGAAGGTACTATTTTATATAAGGTGCATGGGAGACACTCAGAGGAGGTGCCTTTTCTGCTGGCTGCTGAAAGATGAGAAGGAGCTGGCTATTCCATAAGTGAATGAGTGAGGAGAAGCAAAGTGAATGAGAGGGAGAAGGCCAGAAGGCCATGAGGCAGTAAAGAGCTGTCAGACACTGATTTATGACTGTGGCAGTTTCTCCTCAGGCAATTTTGTCAGAAAGTGCTATTGATCCTGTGATGAGCTGGCCCCAGGGACAGCCTTCAAACTGAGGGCTACCTGGGGCTTTTTCTTCCCTTCCTTTCATTGGTATTGTTAATGGGACCAAAGAAGTGTGTAGGGACAGGTAATTTCCCTCCAAATATGCCCCTAAGATTCAGACCCTCTAGGTGGTACATGTCCATTTCATTTATACACTTATTAGAGATAGCAAGAGGGCAACAAAATTAATACTAATCATACTAGCAGCAATCGCTGACATTTATTGAGGGCTTATATGTACCAAGCACTTCACATATAATAAATAATTTTGTCCTCAAACTAATCAATGGGCAATAATACTAATTTCATTATTCAGATGGAGAAACTGAGGTGAAGAGAATTGAATAATTTGCCTAGTTCACCTGGTAAGTGTTCAAAATTGGTAGTATGACTGCAGAACCCCATGTTCTTAAAACTAATGTACTATAATCCCTCTTTTCTCTAGGAACAATCTCTAAAAATAAAATAAATTCTAAGTACATAATTTCACTTTATATAGTTCGGATCTCACTTAAATTTTTACAAGTGTTTCCCATACCCTGTGCTTTCATTACCCTCATTATTAGAATGAATTCTTCTAGCTGAATCCCGAGGATAATTGCTTTTTTGGGTTAAGATCCCCTTTTCTTTCCCTCAGCCTCCATTCCTGTTTAAGCTTCTTTTCCATCCTTTAGGCTCTTGGGTAACACATTCAATCATATTCGTTAAACTCTAGTTCTCCTCAGTTTCAGCTAAATACATTCTTCACAATTCCTTCAATCCTCCTTCAATCTATGGGGAAATTTCTTTTTCCCCATAGATTTAAGATGCATTGTTTTGAATATTAGAAAGTTTTGAGGATAGTGTATCAGGACCTTGACTAAGTTCACTTAAATAGGTAATCTCACTTGGCATGCCAAGCAGTTGGTATTTGTGTAATTAAAACTGGTCACTCGGATAAATAACAAGCAATAAAACTTATTGGGTGAAATTAATTGGGTGAATTTTTTTTCTTACTCATTAGTTTTCCATGCCCTTATGAGCAACTTCTTACCTTACTGGAAACTAACACAGACTAACTAAATCATGAAAGTTTAAGAGGTTACCTATGAAAATAAGAAGTGAAATAGATTTCATTGCATGAAAGCAGCAAGTAACTTCAAATACTCTAAAAAAGAAAAACTCTAAAAAAGCCCCTAGTTAATGGAAAATGGCTTTTTATTAATTGATTCATTCATTTTACTTTCCTTGGTTATTTTAAACCAATAAAAGTTTAAGAGGTCACAATGCCTTCTATTTTGGACTTATGCATGAGAATCCTGTATGAGAAAACACAGAGAATTAAAAATTACTGAAAATTATTGTTGATTTTCCTACATTTAGATATCTAGTCAACACATATAGTTCATTTCATAAACTGAATTAGCTACCTAACCTCACTCAACAGGACTTACTTATTCAACTCTATGTGTGCTATAGGGCCCTGGACAAACTGGCCAAAATACCACAGACTAAGGTATGAGAAACATTCCTTACCTTTAAAGAAGACAAAATTCCCATCACTGTTTTCATAAACTGCATCGATACTTGGAGGCAAGCCCCGCCAGAAGTAAGTAATTTGCATGGGGTATCCATCCATCACCCTGTTGTTTCTCACTCGCCAAAACCACTGGTCCTGCAAACCGAGCGAAAGCATCTCAGCAAACATGCATTGTGCACCGTGGCATTTCCTGTGTTTAACATCCTGACAGCTAAGCTAGGGTCATTATCACTGTCTTACATCAAGACAGCCAAAGAAATAGCTAACATCGTGCCCATAATATCAGTTTTTGTAGTAAACCTCCCCATCTCTAATCCACACAGTGTGATTAAAAAGATCATCTAAGAATACTTAACCTTAGCACTTGACATTATCTCCAGGGCTTTCTAGATGGAAAAACAGAGGTAGCGTGGATAAGTCCCTGCCTAATTTGTGGATTATGGTAGCTTTCCCAATTGCAAGAGCAGCTTATGGACACGTATACACCTTAGCATTTATAGACCCATATAGCATTTATATGCAAGATCTCAACCCTTAAAATGTTGCAGATGAGAGAGAGAGGCCCTACCTCCTAGTATGCCCTTGTTACATCTATTGTCCCCTGTAATTATGTAGAGTGTTCACCCTCAAATATGTTCTGCTTTGGATGATAAATTATATGGTCACCTTAAATAAACAAAGTTGTTTTGAAAAAAAAAAAAAAGAGATCATCAGAGTGGACTCCAATTTGGGTCAATTGTCTCTCTCATATGGTCTCACAGTATCCTATACTTAATTATTGCATAGGTCATTTCATATTAAAAGTATCTACTCTTACCTCTAGTGAATAATACATGACTTGTCCCACAGTATTTATAAACATTGTTGAATTAAGAATTAGCCTGGATTCAATATGTTTCACCATAAATCCTTACTAATGGCAAAAAAACCTCCAGAAAAATTACATCTGATTACACTACTTTCCTATTAAAAATTCAGAATAATTTAGAATAATTCAGAACAATTTATAGACTATCCAAAGTTTTTTAATATCAGAAAAAACTACATATATTTTAAAAGCTAATCATAAATTAAAATGTACTATTTCACTTTACTTCAATATTTAAAAATGGTGTTTCATCTGGAAGTTACAGATTTGTACTATTTAGGTAAGTATGTTTCACAAGATACTACCATTTCAATTCTTCTCTGTTCTCTTCCCCCAACTTAGATATTAATAAGTGATTAATAATTGGGCTTTCCCAAGCTTTAGTTTAGCTTGACTATATGTCCTAGGATTTGTCAGTTATTCATATATTCCTTTATACACAGACACACACACACACACACACACACACACACACACACACACACACACACAATCTATTGAGGACTCTTGGATTTCAGGTGACATGATAAAAATAAACCTTATTCCATCTAAATCAATCCAAATATTAACATTTTCTTAGGAACCTTCGAATAGCTGTATTTTGAATAGTCATATTTCATTCCAGTTATCCTGGACTTGTTATTTATAAATAGAGGAAAAACTAGCTTAATTAATGGCTCTGAGTTCATGTCCTATTCTTGCTCTTTCCCTTAATAACTGTCACTCAGCTCAAAATACTAGTCACTGAGTTATTACAAACCAATAACTGACTCACAGTCCAATTACTGTATTAAATATAAGGGACTTTCGGAAGACCTGGCACAGAGCTGGTTGTAATTATTGTTCAAGTTTTATTGAAACCAGTTATCCTACATTTCCTGTGTACAGTTCTGTTTACAGTTTTGCCTCTCATTCATTGCTTCCTCTTCATATTTCAGCCATATTCTGGCTCTAGCCATGTATTTCTTTCTCACCAATATCTTCTATGTTAGTAACCATTTTCTTATAATTTTCATGGTACCAAGTAGCCTGAATTAATAAATATTGTGATCCACATGTAGTAGATACAGATATTAAGCTTATTTTAAAATTCAAGCTTATTTCATGAAAAGATTGATCTTGGAAAATATAGACAGGAAAAAATATCAAGGACTTAATGTGAACAGGTGATATCAGATAATTTACAACAAAACCAGCATTTTTGTTTAGCTACAACAGGGGTTTCTAACTAGGTGTTAAAACCATGCTAATGTGCACACAAATATTCTTGAATTATTGTAATGTATATCCTAAAATGATAAAAATGTTTAAATACTTACTGGGTCCTGATAAAGAAACAACTAGCCATTACTATTTATGTAACAATGAAACAAAGCTCTTTAAGCTGAAGAATAGGAAGAAATCAGGCAAAAAATCCTGGACTACATTCCGTGTTTTTCTCAGAGAAGAATGTCACAGAGCTCTATTTCCCCACATACTGAGACAGGGCCAGCGGCTCTTTGGGACTAACATATGCTGCATCTGAAGGTAGGAACACAATTTCAACTTGCTACTACTAAGAAATGAAAGTTTTTTCTCAAGGTAAGCATGTCAGTTTGCCAAAATTCAGAAGGAAATGTAGAGTCATGGATAGATTAAGGACTACTTCTCACTAACAGCCTTGGCAGAGTTACATAAACTGTAGGTATTCAGGTTGCGTTTCTATTCAACTCATTGACACCTCCATTTGGTGGAAAGGGATGAAACAAATAATTTAGCAAGCATTCTGCCACATAGGATGTAAACATGTACTGCAGTTACTGTAGATTGCCATTTCAGAAATGGGGCTTGTGAATAATTAGTAGGGAGAGGATGGTTACAATGGCATTTAGGTCTCTGTGCAAATTTTCCTTCTCTGACCATCCTATCTAAAACTGAAGTCCCTCACTCACCCACCCACCCGCATTTACTCTTCCCCATCACCTGCTTTATTTTCCTTCACTGAATTTATCATTGCATGTTTTACTGATTATTCATTTTCTCTCTACTAGAACATAAGCTCCATGATGGCAAAGATGTCTGTCTTTGTTCACTTGTAGTTCCCCATTTCCAGAAAAATGCCTTGCACATAGTAGAAGATTAGTAAATATTTCTTGAAAGAAAACAAAAGTTAAGGAGAAAAGGGCAAAGTAAAACTTAAATGATCCTTTTAGAAATCAAAACCTATACAGAAGTCACAAAAATACAAGAGTTCTACTTGAATAGGCAGATGTTTAGTATGCACACCATTTTCTAGATGGGTATGATACATAAATGTCCTTGAAACATAGAGATAAAAATTGTTTTCACCCTTCCAAACAGCATAGGTTTTGTTTTGGCCTTTGATGTAAAGGGAAAGAAAGAGGAATCACTTCTACAGAGCCCTAAATATATTGCTTATATCTTGCCTCTGGCCTTTTTTGGCTGCAGCCCTAATCGGAGGGGGTGGAAAGGGATAGGAGAGGCTAAAAATAAACACAGCTAACAAACTTGCAAAGTCAACTTATGAAAAAGAGTAGTGGTTAAAAATTAAGTACATGTTTTTAAGTAGGAATTCCTCTTTAAACACTAATATATCACTTAGGATACACATTGACACATAGATTCAGATTTTTCTTTCCATGTACCATGGGACCCAGACAGACCACTTTGTTCACAAAGATAACAAGTCCTCAGAGTAATGCATGGTGTGCACGATGAGGCAGTGACATACAAGAGAAATTCAGTTTGCCTTTTTTCCATTCCCTTTAAAATTCAGGCTTAGTACAGGCATATTGTTTGCTGACAACTGTACAGAAAAAGTGTCCTCCTGCTGTCTGAATGTGAAGATGACAGTGCTATCGATCTACTTTAAGAAGAGGGTGCTATTTTCAGTCCTCATTTTAGGAACCAATTAGTAGAACTGATCGACTTTAAGTTCTCTTCTGGAATACAGAATCTTTTATTTTACAACAACTTGACGTAAATCAATGAATGTCTAGCGTGTCTGTGGCGCACGTTTCCGGAAGGCGCTGGTTCTCTCAGGCCTCTCTCCTGTGCTGCCTTGGGCATCTCCCAGGCTTCCCCACTTCTGAAAGAGCATCTCAAATCTCTGGATTTCTGGCCATCCTCATTGTCACCATCACACTTCCCTGAGATGAGTGCAGGGCCAACTCCAAGCCACCGATTTGCATCCCAAATGGAATCCAAACTCAGGCCCCGCCTCCCGCTCCTATACGTCCTAGGGTTGTCCCTTCAGTGCTCGTGATGGTCCAGGCACGTGTGCATTATTCTCTCAGTTTCTTTTCTTCCTGAACACACTTTGTGTGCTCTTTCCCTTCCTCACACTTTTCATCTGATTAACTGTGAGCCACCTATTCATTCCCAGCTGCAAGGAGTGTACACATGTTTTCATGAAAAATCTATTTTTTCATCAAACCACCATAGGACAAAAAACCCATATGTCAAACTAAGGTAAATGCTTAATATGGGGACCAAACTATTTATTAAAATGACATCAAGGGAACTCACTAGCTATGGAAAATTTTAGAAAAAACATTTATATCCATAAATACATATTACAAACAATTGCTTTTGTTTTCCTTGAGGACTTAGGATTTGATGGCTTGGAGAGTGGGAAAATTGGTGTTCAAAATTAATCTGTTTCTTAAAAAAAACAGACATGTTATAATAGTGAAAAAAAGAGGGAACTGTGGCAATAAAAAGGGAAAATGGTAATTCATATGAATGCTTGAAGAACAGAGGAAGAAATGGTGGCCTTGTGCTTTACGGTAGGCCTGTATTTGCTTCTCAAGCAGAATGAGATGTCTGAGACACCTGGCTGGGTGCTCTCTCCCCTGGGCCCACCCTTGCTAACAGAATCACCAAGTGGTCTCACAAATGACTGGAGTTGGGGGCAGTCTTGCACGGGTAACTAAGTATATCTGGGCAGGAGGGAGGGAGAAGGCAGCAACGAATTCTGTCCTAAGACAGACATTCAAATATTTACCCATCTGAAGCCACTGCTTTTTTGAAGGAGCAAGAGAAACAAAGGTAAATTTGAGGAAATATAGTCATAGTTGCAGTGAAAGAAAGGAAAAATATGCTTTGGTGCAACTGCTACTAAATAGCTAACACTTTTTCCCCATTTGATGAACTCACTGCCTTACATGTACTTCAAATGCCTAGTGTTAAAATGAATAACCAGAATTCCTTATAAAATTTAATATTTAAACTATGTTTAATAATATCATATGTTAGACCCTATGCC